ATGGCGTTGATCCCGCAGCCCCGTGAGGCTATGATGCTCACGACAGGAGACAGATGATAAAAAGCATGATCTACATACATGTAATCGTACACACACTACGCGCGTGGCTGAAACTGGCTGAAAGCGCTCTCGGTATCCGTACACGCTAAATTGCCAAGGGAACGTACAACAGACCAGCGCCTATTACAGTTCTAGCTCAGGATCTGGTCTTCAAGGTCGCCGTACGGTTTAGCGTCGAAGTACGACCGGTCAAAGTGGTGCACCCGCACGAATCCGTCCTCGCCACCCGATGCGTAGCAAGTGCCTGCAGGATGGACAGCAAGTCTGGGAAAGACCGAATTCAGTAAATCATGAGTGCCGCCAGTCGCCTCTGACATACGTATTAATAGGCCCAAAATGGCCCTTCACCCGTCCAACCTCTTCTTCGAATACCTGGTGCCAGAACCGCGTCTCAAACTTGCCCTGCCGCAGCGACGTCGTCGTAACACTCATCGCGTCCTGGCCACCACCCAGAAGCACCTGCACGTAGAGGATTGAGAAAAACTGGAGTTGCCTCTCGATGAGACATCCTTACATAGGGCTTGTTCGGCGTTAAGGCCGCGCTGTTTAGAGGCGTCTCCGTAGGGAACGTCTTGATGACCATCAACGTCTTCATATCGTGTATCTAAATTTCCATGTTAGATCTAAACACGAATTTAACAAAACATCTCCATACCCGTGCACATTTATCTTTGCTGCTCGTGACGAAGAACGACCGGTCCGAGCTCATCTGCAAGTCCGTCACAACATCGCTGTGAGCCCGCTCATTGCTCCGAATTTCCTCGCCCGTCTCGTAGTTGAAGAGTGCGACTTTGCCAGATTCGTGGCCAGTGACAAGAATTTTTGGCATGTTGGTGAACGCAGTAACCGTCGCTTTTGAACCAATGGGATTGAACATGTACGCCGGCTCCGCGGATTCTGCGAGAATGAGAGATGCTCAGAGGCCTGCCAAGCTGCAGCGTAGAAGAGAAGGCGCACGTTTGCTTCCCTCATCCCTGTTGATGTTGAATACACGTATTGCACATTGGAACCCCATGCGCTGCTCGGTGATACAAACGACCTGGCGGTCGTTTTCACTGAATGACACACTCTTGACGGCAGTCGGGAATTCCCACGTGTACAAGCACTTTCCGGTGGCTACTTGCCATAGTCTGAGCGTATTATCTGCGGCACCGGAGACCATGTACTTCGACTCGGCTGGCGAGATCTTAGGAAACTCTGACATGGACTGACGGCGTCACTCACAGTCGACATCTATCGTCCAGACAGTTCCGTTGTGGCCACTGTACGTCCCTAGACGTTCGCCGTTCCGGGAGAACCATACATTTATGAGTTGGTCTTTTGAGGAGGAGAACAACAGATCGCCGTCCGCGTTGAACTTGATCTGGGTCAAGGACCGTTCATGACCTGCCTGGCAGTGTTAATTGAAAATTTTAGTCCAAAAATCACAGACCAGACCTTGCAGAAGGATGGGAAGCTTTCATCGTGGTCAATCGCATATATCGAACAATTGTCCAACGAGCTCACCATGTTTTTTTTTGGATGGCGGCAGCAGCAATGGTTCTGCTATGTTTTCAGCCAGTGCTTTCATCCACACAGTCGATCGTTGATTTGATCGATTGATGGCCGCCGTCTGCATTGTTTGTATTCTTGTTTTTCCTTTTTAAGACCAACTATCATTCTTTCGAATTATTTTTCATGCTCACTCTGGTGCACACTAGGGAATTTCTTCGACGCAATCAACTCGTTGATATCTACTCGTGATCACTCCTCCCCTTCGCACCAGCTCTTCGAGAAGTTGTGGACCGCTAAGTGAGATGATGGATCCAAACAATGAATTTCTGGTGTGAATGTCGGAAGTGATAATTAGGAAGGTACAACACAACAGTCTCCGGGACTGTAGGTAAGTCTAGTTATTCAATCGCGCAGACCAGGTATCTATAGAGGGCGGGATGCGCAACTGCAGTCTGCAAGTCAAAGGGAATCAAGGATAACACTGATTGAATAAGAGATTTTTCTAGATCGCATTCAAGCGCAGACGGTGAACTTGAGGCGGTCACCCTCAACCTCACAACTGAGGTGCTCCATATTGTCGACAATATAGTGCGCGCCGCAGTTCTCGATCTTACTGCGTTCGTGGCTCGTACACACAGCGATGACGGTCGCACCGCTCGCGACACCAGCCCGAATGCCGCTGGGCGAGTCCTCGAAGACAACGCAGCGCTTCGGGTCATAGCCCAGCTCTTTTGCAGCGAGCAGGAACGGGTCGGGCGCGGGCTTGCCGGCCTTGAGCCTCTTGTCGTCAGCAGTGATGGTCACGGGAGGCGGCGTGATTCCAACACGCGTCATACATCCGTAGGCTAAAGAAAAATCGAGTCAGTAAAAATGGGGCAGGGGTGAAAAAGGGTGAAAAAAAAAACGTACCATATGTCTTTGCGCCAGACGTGGCGACAGCATAACGACCGGCGGGAATGGAGGAGATCATCTTTTTGACTCCGGGCAGAATGCGGACGGAACGGTCGACACACGCAGCTTCAATCTGCCACGCTTGGAACTCGAGCTTCGACATGCGCTCCTTTTCGAGGTCGGTAAGGATACCGTCAGGGGAGATGACGTCCTCGACGAACACGTCGTCCTGGATCTCCTCCGGCTCGACAATCGTCGGCTCTGGTTGAGCGGGCGCGGCCGTGGTCATGGAAAGACGGCCTAGTAGGTGCGTGCCAAAAGACGGACGGCGCGAGCCGCCGTTGGAATAAACCGACGACTTGCGGCTGCCCACGAAAGACGACGAACGAGAGTTAGATGCTGTCAGCGCGGGCGTGGCGGCGGCGGAGGACAAAGGCGAATCAAGTGGTGAGTTGAAGAGAGAGTTAGAGCGCGAGGTCGGACGCGAGCCGGGGCCATGCACATTATAAGCGTCGGCGAAGAAGAGGATGCTCTCCTCGAACGCCTGTACTTCGGCGTCCATCTCGTGCACTTTGATGTACGGCTTAAACTGAGCGAGGTTGTCAACAGCGCGCTTGCCGTGCGTCGCAGCGATGACAAACTCCGGGTCCTGCCCTATGTCACGCGCCACCTTGCCCCAGGCGGCCTCGACGGCACGGATGGAATCAGTGAGAGTGCCGTCCTGGCGTTGCAATCATACGGTCGTCAGCATCAACACCAGAGTGGAAGAAGAATGACACAAACCATGTCAAAGAGGACGGCGTCAGCGTAGAACGTTTGCGGCTGTGAAGACATGATGAAAGAAATTTATGACCAGGAGGAACACACAGAGGTTTGTGGGAATGAGGAATTTCTGAACGTCGAGGGCGGATTCTCTTTATACCTCCAGTGGTCTTTTATACGGTAACGGCGGTATGTGTGATGCGATTTATTCTGCATGTTACCCATTTTCGAAGAAAGGGGAAATTGGAAATCTAGGGTAAGTGGAGTGGCCGCTCCACACGCATCTTTCGTATCTTTCATTTGGCGATAGGTTGAAGTCTAGTAGACAAGCGGCGTTTGCTAAGCAGTCTAGTGAAGGTGGGCACACGTTGAAGTTGAGCACCGCATTGGGTACAGCCGGCATGTTCGCGAACGTGGGCGCGACGAGCAAGGACGGCAACGAACTGGAGAGGAGCGCAGTGATCTGATATGATATGATCGGCGAATGGGCAATTGAAATTCTCCAATCGAGGGTGACAATCCAACCGTCGAGTCGCTCCTCCGCTCGTTGCGCTTGCAATTTGTTGCTTGGTTAACCTTTTTTCGCTTAAAAATCGCTGCTGTGGGCTCCTCCGGGAAACGTCGTCTCTCCAGGTGCTCAGTATTCCATCGTCTCCTTTGACCTATCTTTATCCATGGATGATGGAGCTCCAAGTGGCGCAGCTGAACGTGGCTTGATGGGCGCTACTGTACGTATGCGATAGTATAGTGCTAGATCACGACAGGTCTCGTCAAGCTTAGTACTCATAGGCTCGCCGTTCGCGTTCGTCGCGTCTTGGGACTGATATCGATGCGCCGTTCAGCCGGGGCCCAGCAGTGCTTTCGGCCGATGTCCTGTATTTCCACAGGGTAGACAGCTAAGTACAGGCGATTGAAAGATCTAATGCAGGAGTGATTCAGAACGTGAAATTTGTCAATGGGTCTTTGGGTCGTTCGTGTGACAACTGTGGCTACTTACCATTATCTGATCAACGTCCACGTGCAGCATTCATCTGTTTTATCTATTTTGCCTGGCCTGCTTCTGCATGATGCTCTATGGTTTATTCAACCAGTTATCATGAATATTAATGCCCCCAATGTCGGCTTTCAAATGGTTTCGGGCTGTACGTGCGCATGTGTAAGAGCGATCAAATGACGAGGTGAGAGAAAGCTTTTACCAGCATCTTCTTCTCCGCTAACTTTGACAGGATACATTTTTGCACATGTCGTCCTGGTCGAACTTCAAATTTTAATAATTTGAATCAGTCAAGCTCATAGACTCTTACGAGCGATTCTGGATCCTCACACGCTCTGCCTCAAGAACGCTATAGTGCTCCACCTTCTCAGCCTGCTGATACGTATGCGTACGTGATACCTCGCACGTCGGAATCCCCTCGTGCGATGCAGTCCTTGCTCATAGCAACTAGACTGAACGTAAGCAATTTCATTCACAGCGCGCTATCTTCGCGAATTCCACTAATAGAGGTTCGTACTGGAAGAGCACTTTTCCCCTCCCAAGGGTCTTTCTCATCAAAGATCTTTCGCACTGAATGTTCCTTTATCGGCTACTTGCTTCTTTGTGCCCTGCGTCTTCTCTCGTAACAATTGACCTGCATCCTCACAATGGTACTGGTGTGTACCTCTCTCTCTTCACCAACAGTGTTTTACGTCGTGTCACCTCTCTTTCCGTCCAAGCTACGCTCCATTCGGTCCGAATGTGCAATCGTCGCCACTTACCGAGTAACTCTTATCAAACTCTTACTGCGAGTTGGACATCTCTGATAGTATATTGGCTAGTACACTCGCCTGTCATGGTGATCTAATGGTCACAGCACGGGCGTGAGATGCGCGGGAGAGCTGGGTTCAATTCCCAGTCAGAGAGCGGTTGCCCTTCCTTAAGATTCATTTTTCATGGTTTGCTTACATACTGTTCAGTCAATTCAGCTAAATTCAAGGGGCCATGTAGAGTTTTGTCTGTTTTTCCACTTGAAAACTCCTGTTGTTATCCACTCTTTGACAATCTGATTACATGTGTTCTGTTAGACTATGAAATCCCTCACTCAGTCTATGCGCTGTGGTGGCGATTGACTATATTTGTCATACCTATGAAATCCCTCGCTACGTACATGAGTAAGTAGAACTACAGACGAGGGCTGGATACTCACCTCAGTCTATACGCTGTGGTGGCGATTGACTGAGGTGTGTAGGAAGAGGGGATGTCGTATATATACATAGGCTTATGTAATATAACGCGGTCACATGCCTAGATGTACATGTTCAACACTCCTCCTCATCTAGGCATTGGGGTACGTAGCGGGTGGATGTCTGTAGGTAAAGAGACCATGAAAAAAAGGAAGAAAAAAGAGAAACATTCACTCCTCCTCACGCGGTACGACACCAATGAGTGAGCGGAGGTAGACAAATGCGGGGCGGGCGAGTGGCTTGGTAAAGATATCGGCCGCGTTATCTTTGGAGGGTACACAGCTTAGGCAGATTGAACCCTCGTCATTTTGCTCTCAGATGTAGTGATAGCACACGTCGATGTGCTTCGCGCGTGCGTGGAAGGCAGGGTCAAGGGAGAGTGCCATGGCTCCATTATTGTCGACCAGCAAGGGTGTAGGCAAGGTTTGTTCATGATCAATTTCACGGAGGAGTTGGCGTAGCCACATCGCTTCACGGGAGCACTCACTTACGGCGACATATTCGGCATCGGTGGAGGAGCAGGCAATTGTAGCTTGCTTGCGAGAGGACCAGGAAACGAGGCCACGGCCGAGGGTGAAAGCATAGCCCATAGTGGACCGGCAAGTATCGGGGCAGTCAGCGAAGGATGAGTCTGCGAAGCCGAGTAGCGATTTGTGGTCGGAGCCAAGTTCCAGCTCATAGTCACGTGTGCCTTTGAGATACCGGACGACTTGAATAGCTGCGTTCCAATGCGAGCGCCGGTAGCAGTCAAGATAGCAGGTAAGGCGAGAGATGGCATATGAAATATCAGGGTGTGAACCGACAGCAAGATACATGAGGCTGCCAACAAGAGAGCAGTAGGGCAGGCATGCGAGGTCAGCCTTTTCTGTCGCATTGAGGGTAATTGCAGGATCAGGGCGTCGGAGGTTGGAGGCAGGGTCCATGGGGATGAGGCGGGGGTCCGCATCCTGCATATTGAAGGTGAGGATTATGCGATCAATCAATGCTGTCTGGGAGATGCAAATGCGTCGAGAAGAGCGGTCGCGGCGGATGTTAATGCCCAGGCAGAAACGAGCCTCACCCAAGTCAGAGATTTTCCAAAAACGGGTGAGTTCGTCTTTGAATGTGGTGATGGCGTCGGGCGAGTTGCCTGTGATAAGGAAGTCGTCGACGTGTATGGCTGTGATGACGATACCGCGCGCGTCTTTGCGGTAGTACAAGCAGTTGTCTGCGCCAAGTTGCTTGAACCCTAGAGACGTGAGTGCCTTGTGCATAGTCCGATTCCATATGCGCCCGCTTTGCTTCATGCCGTATAGACCACGTTGCAGCTGCCAAACATGATCCTCCATGCCAGGTTCCACGAAACCTTCCGGTTGCTCCAAATATTGTACCTCGTTCGCTGGAAGATCGCCATACAGATAAGCGGTTTTGATGTCAACCTGATGAACTTCCCAGTCGTGGCCAGCGGCAAGACTTAGCAGTGTTCGAAAGGATTTGTTGCGTCCAGTGGGCGATGTTGTATGGACGTAGTCTTGCCCGAAGACTTGTTCGAAACCGCGTACGACTAGACGTGCCTTCCATCGCACGGTCACACCGAGCTCATCTCATTTCATACGGAAGACCCATTTATTCCGTAGAACTTTACGATTGCGTGGGACACAGGAACGGGGCACGAGCTTGTAGACTCCCATTTCCTTGAGAGACTTGAGTTCTTCTAGACACCCTTCTCGCCATTGAGGGCCATGTGTGCCACTTAGCGCTTCATCCAATGTTTGCGGATCATTGAGGTCTTCGCCAGGTGGAGGAGAGTCCATTGCAGCTGTGAAGAACTCATGGAATTCCTCTAGCTCGTCTGGAGTTGGTAGTGGCAAATTGGCAATGAGGGCGTCTTTCAGGTCTGCAAGCAGACAATCATTTTCTCGACGCTCGAGTCCATCAGAGAAGTTTGCAGGCTGTTCCTTCAGCGCACGTTGCATTTGTTCATGGATAGTTGCGCGTGCAGCTTTACGTCGGGTGCGCTCCTCCTGAAGCCGCACGCCGGATTCACGTGCTGCATCACGGGCGGCGGCAGCAGCAGGGATATAGGATAACCCTTCATTTCGAGCGCATTTCTCGGTTGGGTGTTTGACGCGTGTTGACCGCCGAGGGAGCTGGATGGGTGGTGCCTCATCGTCAACGACCTCCTCGATAGTGACTTTGGTTGACGCTGCAGGTTGTACCACACCGTCTGATGTGTGTTCTCCCCCAAGAACAACACCAGGACGGTAGGGGGTATCACCAGCATCCTGCGATTCGATGAATTGCACATGGTAAGACTCTACAACACGTCATTTTGCACGATCGTAGCAACAATACCCTTTTGAATTACGCGCGTAACCAACAAGCACGCATTCGTATGACCGGGCATGGATTTTGTTGCGATCGTCACTGTGCAGCACAAAGGCGCGGCAGCTGATCTCATGAAGATGGGACAAGTCAGGTTTCCTTAGGTGCTAGGCTTCGTAGGGTGTTTTGCCCGGCAGAGATGACGTGAAAACAAAAGCATGCAGGTAGCCTGAAGTAAGGAAGAACTCATCCCACAGAAAGGCAGGCAGTCCTGCGGCGAGGCGCATGGATCTGGCCTTGCCATAGATGGTGCGGTGCAGACGTTCGACGCGGCCATTCATTGAGGACGTGTCGGGCGGTGTCCACCGTGGTGTGTAGCCGTTTTCGTTGCACCAATTCAGATAGCGGGTGGAACGGAGTTCACCGCGGTCGGCATTGATGATCCCAACTCGCTCGCTGGTTTCAGCTTCAGCAACTCGCACCCACGCCATGAGGACGTCGAGGGCTTTGTCTTTGCTTTTCAGGGCAAAAGAGAAAGGCATGGAGCTGTAGTCATCGATGATGTTCATTCCGTATCGATTGCCAGAGGCAGAAACTACATCGGATGGCCCTGTGATGTCTACGTATATAATGCCCAGACGTCTACTAGCTTTCTTATGCTCACGCAACTTGGGGACGGGTGTACGTGTCTGCTTGCCAAGAATGCAGTGAGCACAAGTGCCAGGTTTGGTGGAGGCATTTATACGCATACCGGTGACAAGGGATTCACGTGAGATCTTCAGGATGTTATCGACCAGGGCGTGACCAAGACGGTTGTGCCAGGTAGTCAGAGAACCAATGCTATAAGCTCGAGGGGTTGCGTCAACTCGTTCAGCGGATTTCGGATGCAAGTAAGAAGCAGAAGAAGTATTCAGGCAGTACAGGTTTCCACGAGCAGCAAGACGAGTTCCAGAGGCTAGAGTTCGACCAGCAGTGGTGATGACATGGACAGATTTAGCGTCAAAGACAACATGGCAGTTGTGGTCGTCACAGAGAGCCCCGACGCTGATCAGGCGGACACGTGATTCCGGGACGTAGAGCGCACGACGCAGGATAAGAAAGCCAGAATCGAGGCGGTGCCAGATGTACCCGATGCCAGCAATGCGAAGGCGAGTGCCACCAACGCCACGTATGACGTGGTTGGACACAGGGTGCAGTGCGACGAAATCATTGCGGCAGTTGGACAGGTGGGTGGTAGCGCCGCTGTCCATGAGGTAAGTACCATCATTTGCAACGACAACTTTAGAGGGCTGATTGTGAACGGTGAATGCATTAAGGAGGTCGTCCGGGACAGAGCGGACATGTTCAGGCCGCAAAGAGCAGTTCAGAGCAGGTGCGGTTGCCAGCCAAGCGAGCTCCTCAGTCCATTCGGCGGTGTTGCCGTGGAAGTCAGTGCTGAGGAGGAAATCTTCGAGATCGGTTGTGGACAACGATGTGGCATCGGCGAGGAGGGCTTCGTCATCCGTCACCTCGGTGATAGTGGCAGTCGATTGGAGATCAGCTGAGTCGTGAGCAGAGGGAGTACCGCTCGACGCCACAGGCAGGAGCGACACATAGGCCCTCTGTGAGCGTAGCGCGGCAGAGGCGTTTGCATGAGAACTGCTGGGAGAAGACGTCCCGCGTCCAGGAGCAGAAGGGGTTGTGCTTTTACCGCTGCGAGTCTTTCCCTTCTTTGCATAGTCGCGCGACAAAGCCTTGTCATAGGCAGATTTGGCGTTAGCCGCCTGGACAGAGAGGCCATGGCATCTGCCACCGCGTTGTGTGCAGTACTCACGCGTGTGTCCAGCACGCGTGCAGTTAGTGCAGGCCTCAGGGGCAGCGGCAGCGGCGGTGGATGCACGCGCCGTGTATGTGTCCCAGGCGACCATTGCATTGGATGCCGTGGACTTTGATGTTTCGTATTCGAGCTGTATGCGGTCACTAACGTGCATGGGCAAGAAAGGGGACTCGGACGTTGCAGTAGACATGTGGTCATTGATGAAATTACGGATATTGGGCATACTACGTGCAGCGGACAAGTGCAGGAGAATTTCGAACAGATCTGGCGTGATTAGGCTGCAATCCCAGATGGATTTGTTGATTTTACGAATACGTTGGATGGTGTCCAGAAGTTCATCGTGCTTGGCATAGCGAAGTTCGAATGCGGACCGAAGGAGGAGCATTTGAGTAACCACGCCGCGACGCCGGTGTCTCATCTCTAGAATCGACCATACCTCGTGCGCATAATAACACTTGTCGACGTATTCCCGCTCTGCATGGCAAATGTGAGAGCAGACATAGCCGAGGACGCTGCAATCGTTGGCCCGTTCATTCGACAGGGCGCAGGGCTCGGTTGCGGGAGAGAGAGGGGGGTTGAGACGAGGTTTGTCGAACAGATACTCTGTAAGGCCAGATGATGCATTGAGGCGGTCGATGATCCGATTTTTCCACTCTTCGTAGTTGTGCTTGCGAAGGTCCAAGAGCTGATCCTCCATCCAATTGGCGTTGTCGCGAACCGATTTGAGCGCTACGCGTGGATGGGAGCGGTCCTCCTTTTGGATCGTCGCAGCGTCTGAAACTAAGTAAAATATAGAGCATGGTATCTGTTCTGAGCGATAATTAAGGACAGTATCTTTGGCGTCATTGGTTGTCTGATTTATAAGAGGCGGCGGAGACGGGATGGCTATATGCGGCAACGGTGGTGCGTATGCGATGGTGTCTGGGTGATAAATGTTTTGCCTTATGGGTGGTGCATTGAACGGTAGTGTTGGCTGTCTGGGAGTACGGTGGTTTGTATTTACATTTTGGGGAAAGGATTGAGCAGTTTGCAATCTAGCTACGAAAGGGTTTGATGAAGTTATTTGGGGGTTGGAAGCCGATGGAAGAAAAGGATTTGTATTTGACTGGGGCAGAAAAGGCGAGTACACAGGAGAAATGGGGACGCTGCGATTTCCGCGGGGATTTGCACTCGACATCCTTACGCGTGGGGGAAACACGTGATCGTGTTGCTTCGAACAGAGGCCAATTTGGTGGATTTACGCGTCTGGATGGAACGCGATAAGCTATAACCGGGCGGGGTATGCACCCGGGAGTCAGATTGGGTTAATTTCAGCGAGATCGCTCAGATCCTTTAGGTGGGGATTTCAGTCCAGTTTTTGGTCGGGGCCCATAACCTGTTAGACTATGAAATCCCTCGCTCAGTCTATGCGCTGTGGTGGCGATTGACTATATTTGTCATACCTATGAAATCCCTCGCTACGTACATGAGTAAGTAGAACTACAGACGAGGGCTGGATACTCACCTCAGTCTATGCGCTGTGGTGGCGATTGACTGAGGTGTGTAGGAAGAGGGGATGTCGTATATATACATAGGCTTATGTAATATAAAGGATGGGTGACCCATATATGCTCACTCCGTGAGCAGGGCACGTGCACGATGTTCAAGTTCAAGTTGATTGTTGAAGTTGAGGGTGGCATCACAGCGCCATCGCGTACTTAATTTTCTCAGGATTGAGGCCATCTCTTGAAAATCGGGAAAAGCCATCCTGTAGCCTTCCACTCAGACATGGTTCCTACCGAATTTCAGCGTGCAGAAACATGATTTGCATCATCCAAAACCTGCGCAAGTTTGGCAAGCAACGGGTGATTATATCTCGACAACGAGAACAGATATTCAAAATCGGGAAACGCAGGTCTGTAGCCTTCCCCTCAGACATGATCCATGCCAAATTTCAGCCAGTGAAAACGCGATTTGCATCCTCCAAAATTCGCGCAAGTTTGGCGGCGAATGACGTCATGGAAAAAAGTCGTTGTACTTGTTTGTTCGTGAGTCATTGCGAACCTCGCCCTTTAGCCGAAGATTGCTCACTTCGTTCGCAATAACGCGGTCACATGCCTAGATGTACATGTTCAACATTACATGTGTTCATCTCAGCTGGTGACCAGTGACCGGTGACCACCCATGTTGTCCTTCACTGCTGAGTCTTCTCTCCCTCATCACCTGTGCCGAGTCTTCTGTGCATGTGTCTATCCATTCCACTAAACAAATTATACAGCCCGTTGCTTCAATGCTTGTAAGTTGTCACTTGGCTTATATGGTCGTATTTCAAGTAAGGCTGATGGAAATGAGAGACCCCGACCCGACCCACCTATCCCTGTTGCCCTTACATACCTAATGAAATGGCTAACAAATTCTCAGCAGCCATCAACAGTATCGTCTCG